ACAATGTGATTCGGTAACAAGGGATGTTCGGCCTTGAAATTGTGACAGTGATTTGGTGATGTCCGATTTCCAGCTGATTTCCACCTGAAATCGAGTGTTATAAACCATGGTTGTAATAATGTGATTAGATAACAAATGACGTTTGGCCTTAAAATTGTGACAGTGATTTGGTGATATCCGATTTCCACCTGATATCGAGTGTTACAATCCATGATTGTAATAATGTGATTCGATAACAAGTGACGTTCGGCCTTAAAATTGTGACAGTGATTTGGTGATATCAGATTTTCACCTGATATCGAGTGTTACAATCCATGATTGTAACAATGTGATTCGATAACAAATGACGTTCGGCCTTAAAATTGTGACTGATTTGGTGATATCCCATTTCCAGCTGATTTCCACCTGATATTGAATGTTAAATCCATGGTTGTAATAATGTGATTCGATAACAAGTGACGTTCGGCCTTAAAATTGTGACAGTGATTTGGGGATATCCGATTTTCACCTGATATCGAATGTTAAATCCATGGTTGTAATAATGTGATTCGATAACAAGTGACGTTCGGCCTTAAAATTGTGACAGTGATTTGGGGATATCCGATTTTCACCTGATATCGAATGTTAAATCCATGGTTGTAATAATGTGATTCGATAACAAGTGACGTTCGGCCTTAAAATTGTGACAGTGATTTGGTGATGTCCTGATTTCCACCTGACATTGAATGTTAAATCCATGATTGTAACAATGTGATTCGGTAACAAGTGACGTTCGGCCTTAAAATTGTGACAGTGATTTGGTGATATCCGATTTCCACCTGATACCGAGTGTTACAATTCATGATTTCCTGAGTGAATACTCGGATTTTGGTCGTTGAGAAACGGATTCAGCGTCAGATTTTGGGGGGTTCGAACCGGAAGGAACCCTCCGCGGAGAGGAAGAGGAATGACGGTCGGCTACACATCGCATAAATAAATTTGCACGTTGGCCGCACTCGGACCCTCTATTAATTCCACCTTGTAGGAACGACGCGGGTATACGCGCGACGTGCCGCTACGTACCCAATGGTGTATCATCGTGATTACACGGTGCTTGGCTTTCATTCATAAACGGTCTTAAAACCTTTACTTTCCCTGGGCCGTATTGAGAGGAGAGGGCGCACACGTGCACGTCGAGGAAGCGAGAAGCGGGACGCCGAAGAGTAGAAACGTCACTTCCGCCTTGGAAATTTGCATGCGTTAACGGTCCCTCCAGGTGAATCCTAAGAAATTCCAGAGCCCAACAAAAATTCTCACGTGTTAACCCTTTTCTAACGATTTTTATAAATTTCCAAAAGGAACATACTCCACTAAAACAAATCACAATACAAATTTGCATTAATAGCCCTTCCAGGTAAGTCGCCAATAAAAAAATGAAGAATCCCTGAACCCATGAGGACCCATAAAAAAATCCCGACGACCTGCGATTGCGATCTCCAAGGATACAATTTTCTGAAGAAAGGCCATAAATCTGTGAAATATATATATAAAAAGTGCAGGAAACAAAATTGCCGTTTCAGCGAACGGGTTGTCACGCTCGAAACGGTCAATGCGAAAGGGAAACGGAGGACATGCATTATTAATCGAGCTTATGGGGCCCCATGAGAACGGCCCGGGGAAAATGTTGCACTGCCCCCGCGCACGTGGGAATCCGACAAATCTGGGCTGGTATGCAAATCAGTCTTCATTTATTCGGCCTGATTTCCGAGGGGGTCGTTTCCCTCGGAATCGTTTCGACAGATTTCCGGACCTTCTCGGGGTGATCCGAAGGTAAAATTTCCGGGGCATGTGGACCCACTCGGGCGGACACTTCCGGGCGGGGATCCTATTCTCGAAGGGAGTCCTTTCGATCGAGGCTTCGGATCGATTGCGGAGCCTGTGCGGTCCGAATTCGAGGAAACACGATATCGACGTGTAGAATTTATCCCCGAATGTGTCGCGATGTACGGAGGGCAGATGACACCGGGGAAACTTGACACGCTCGCCTACTCGCGTTCGCTGAGCTACAAGCTGCGATCCCATGTGTGGTCTTGTGTCCCATGTCGATACCCTCGGTAAAGATGCTCGGTACTTCGGGTACTCGCGATAAGGTACCCCATTTTTCATATATTTCCGAACATTCCGTGTAATTTCTCTAATTATTCAAAAACGACCCTACGAATGAATTCGTTGCACCCTTTACGAGGGTCTTAAGGTGATACGAAAGTGTCATATATACGTACCAAAAAATCAAAATATTTATAAAACTTTTTTTTAAATTGGGTACACCGAATCATTTGACATTTCATCGCAAGATTATAGAGGACCTAAGGAAGAACGCGATGCTCGTGAAATTTGATTTTTCGACAAAAATGTTGTATTTATCTCGGACAAGAACGAAAAAAAAGCATTATTTTTTTCCAAAAATGAAATTTCACGTGCATCGCGTTCTTCCTTATGGCCTTCGTAACCACGTGTTAAAGTTTCAGAAATTTGAAATGAATGGTGAAGTTTCTCTGATTTTTCAAAAACGAACCTACAAATAAATTCGTTGCACCGTTTAAGAGGGTTCAGTAAATAAACTGATAGATGAATTAATGCATAAGAAATGATAAATTGCCATCTCGTACGGTCAAGTGAGATTATCTTAAAATGTACGAGCGGTGCCGTAATAAACTACAAAGTGGCAGGAACGGTCCGCACATAATTCAGCAAGGAATTTCCCCGGAGTAATGGAAAAGCAATCGGTCTTGGAAAACGGTTTCGAGAAGGAGGGTTTTGGTACCGCAATTTCCGGTCGCGGGACCCGTCATTCGACGTTGCAAAGCCTCGGCAGGATTCATGGTGTCTGGTCGTAAAGTGCAGTGCAGTTTGCCAAAGACTCGAAATTCGGCAGCTGGGCGGGAAATGGCCGAATGAACAATTGCGACGAACGGTCATTTCTGTCATTTGAGGCAAACCGCCCCCGAGGAAAAATCGGCTTTGCGGGGGTGCACGTCAGGGCCGGGTGACTCTTTACGATTCTTTTGTCAGGGGAAGAGGAAATGGCGTTATGGGACCCCCTTCGAATCGAGAACCATGAATCGGGAGCTACAAATGGACAGTCATTTCCTAAGGGGTGGATATATTTCACCACTCTTGTCTTCTGAAATCCTCCCATCAGGGGGAACATCGACCTCCTCAAATTGAACAACTGCTGCTAGCACCGGGATTTTAATTTTAATTTAACTTCATTATGCTGAATTTATTTTTTCTCTCGATTTCATCCCCGTTAACGAATACTAACTTAGAAAATATTGACCGCAGCTTGTCGGAAGTCGAGTCGATTAAATCGTGAAAGAGTCTTTCCGGTCCAGTTGAGAAAGAGTTCGCTGGTCTAACGCTTCTCTTTTTGGTCACGAGGCCCCGATTACGCGTGTAGACCGTCAAGATTTCGATCGATCAGGCCCTCGATCGATTTTAGTTAATCGACCATCTGCCGGCGATCGTTGGGGTTTGCAAACCCCTTCGACGTTAACGGACGAGCGGATATCCACAAAGCAGCGCAAACGGGCGTTGCGCAGGAGATCCCGATCTCCAGCAATGATTTTCGAAACCTTATCGGTCCATCTGGGATTTCATCTCGCCACGATAAAACAGTTTCCAAAGCGAGCTTTCAGCCAATCGGATAAAATATTTTGTCACATTCAAAATGGAGGAATTTCCCCTTGCCGGGATATCTCCAATCCTAAAGAATACAATTTCATCGAGTGTCTCAATTCATATGACCGATGTTCATGTACCTCATAAATGAATTTCATAGGACGAGATTAATTGAATGAAAATCAATCGCGTGGGCTCATGGAGTCGGGGCTCGTTTCTAATTGAAGGTACCGATAAAGCCGGTGATTACAGGCAGCTGCGACAGTCGATAACAATGAGACCACAAAAAGCTGTCCAGATAATATGTCCACGTTCCGCCCCTGCGTGTGCACAACCGTTTCCTATGTTCCGAGCCGACCGAAATTATGGGGTGGAAACCGCAACCCCCGCAGACATGAAGGGGTTGATCCGGGAAACATTACTTTCCTGATTACACGCCGACGAGGTAATGCCACACCGACGTGGGCGGTTTAATGATACCGCCTCGGTGGACGTGAAAAGTTCCGCCATCTTTTTTTCTCGATTAAATTTAATCCGCGCAGATTTTGATGGCCACGAAGGCCGAGCGACGATCGGATGTTTCCGCTCGTGCACGATAAAGCGATCCACGCACTGATCATGAGCCTTAATTGGTGAATAAACACCGTGAAAGGGGCACAGACAGGAAGTGAGTGTGTGCTTACCGGTACCTACGTAGGGAATTATTAAGAGCAATGCCAAGTACGAGTTGCCATGTGCGCCATGTAATGGAGGCTAAGTAGAGCACAGGTGATGATGACAGATTGCGACCACGTGTTCGTCCTGTCTCAGGAAATACCGAGATTTTTCCTCGCCTTAGGATCCCCCTTCTAGGGGAAGTCCATATCGGATTGATACACTTCCCTATAAAGGGGCTATGAAAAAAAAAAAAAAAAAAAACAGGGAAATGAAAACATCTTTATAGGAAAATTGAATACCAAGCAGTGGGTTTTTCATTTTTATTACTTCTTTTCTAGGATATTTTTCTCGATGTTTATCTGGATTTTCTTTCGATCTGGAATTCATCTTCAAGGAGGATTTTTTCCCTGTGGAGATTCTGCGAAAGAGAGAAACAAGGAAATGGAAAGAATTCTGTGTGGGAATGAAACACAAGCAGTGTGATGTTTCATTAAGTTTGCCGAAGTTTGTTTTCCTTCCCTCGGTGAATTCGTAAACTTAAAACGAGTGCGTAAGCCAGAGTATGCACGAGCGACATGTCGTGGACAAGTTTCGTTATTGATGACGACGCGGATTTTGGAAATGTCGGTGAAGGAGGTGGACTCGTTGCTGGTCAGTAACCAAGTGTCGATTTGCAGAGAGAGTGCACTTCGGATCGCGCCATTTTGGAAGAAAATGAGGACGGGCTTGAAAATGTCACCGGAAGGAAATAACGACTAGATTGTTGTATTTGGATTCGGAGTAAAAAAGATAGCCGGCAGAATGACGAGGAAAATTATGATTTTCGTCCTGACGCTCTTTTTGGTGAAAGGTAGGCATGGGTAATTTTTCATTTTTTGTCTATGGTGTGTTTTCATATACCGAGGGCATAATTGATAAATTAATTTTGTCCGAGTTTTAGGTGATGCAGAGAGAGATGATGATTTATGGATAATTCCTGGAGAGGGCTTCGACCCAGAATTGAATGATATTCTGAGGCCTCCGATGAGGTTAGAATTAAAATATTCGTCCCCTGGGGAAATAGCTTTCCCGAAAATCGAGGGAAAGTCACCTCGGCTGGCGGCGAGTGGATTATTTAATAAGGATTCTAATTCGATGTCGACTACGTTGAGAGAATCGACAACAATGGCCGCGGAAGTGCCTGAAGAAATAACGGAAGAAAGCATGTCTCTTATGGAAATGACGGAACCTTCACTCCTCGTTAATCAAATCGCAGATGTGTTTGTGAGTAGCGAAATGCTAGAGAGATTTATGGAAGAATTAGAATCCGTGGAAAGGATGGCGGCGAATGGTTTGATTCAGCAAAATCCGACTTTTACGGAAATAGATCCGACATTGACGACGGAAACCGTTTACAGTTTCCCGGAAGTAACAGAAAATCTAGGAAATTCATTACTGACAGAACTTGTACCCGACAATGGGGATTTTTCAACGTCTCCAGAAAGGAGTTCCGAGACTTCAGACACTGGTCAGATGTCTTCAACTTCATTTGAGAAATTAATCGAGGTGACCGAATTTCTGGACGCATCTTCAACAATGGGATTTGTAACCGAAGAGCTGAGTGGCACAACAGGACTCGTGAGACCGGAAATAACAACGGAATTGCACATCCTTGAAAAGCCGATATACATGTCAGGATTGAGGGAAACCACATTTCCACCTGGGGAAATGCTCGACGACATAATTTCTTCCTCAACGAAGCAGAATCTCCTCTCGTTCATCATAAGAGACAATTCTGCAGCTTCGACATCGATTTCGACAACGACCGAAAGCATTGTTCATTTATCGCCTTCAACTATTTCAGGGAACGCCCTAGGTGAGCCTTTCAAATGAAGTTTGCAATGAAAAAGAATGACAGAAATACCGTAATTACACTTAGGATTTTCTTTACAGAGGAGCATTGTCACGTAGAAGCTAAATTGGACATCGCCGCCATTATCGGAGGGTCTGCCCTGATCGTCGCCATTTTCGTCATCTGCATCTTAATCTGCCGCGAGAAGAAGCAAAGAAATCCAGCTTCAGTAATTCCTTGAAAATTTGAAAAACATTATCGAGTGACAAATGAAATCCGACGAGGGAAGAGAAAATCATGAATTTTCATGCGTCTAATCAGATTAAATTGGGGATATTTCAGTGAATTCTTTGAAACGCCTTTTTCTCTCTTTCCTCCCTTTCCATGGACACGCCTAACCGATTATCCTGTTAATGGTTAAACGTAACGTTTATCGCGCCATCTGGAGAACCGTGTGAACTGTGCAGGGCGAGTTTCCGAATAAATTCATGTCGCAATTTAAACGGAGTTCCATCGATCGGTGGGGTCGTGTAACCCAGATGGAACAAAAAGGCCGATAAACCGTGCCAAGAGAAACTGATTAGGGAGGCGAGCACGCATGTTAATTATCCCTTTAGCCATTAAACATTCGCATTTTCCGCACCATCTGTTCTACCGTGTGAACGGCCCTGAGAGCCGCCATCTAATTTATTGTCGCAATTTCGGTCCTGGCCCCCTCTTTCGGTAATTGAGACCGCAAACAAATTCTCCCACGCGAAATATTCTGTTGGGTTGGCAGAAATTCGGGGGAGGGAATTACAAAAACCCAGACATTTATTTCTCGCAACGAAACGAAGTGCTAATTAATATTATATTCTCTGGCGCTTCGGATAATTTCGTCGCCATCTTCTCGGCAATTTTACTTGACATGGAATTATTTTCGAGGAAAATCCCCTGAATAAAATTTGATGCAACTGAATGCATTTGTGCATTTACATGGTCTTGGCCCGTCATCCCGGTCGATTTCTTCCATCTTTCATTCCAGTTTCCGGGAACAAGAGTTACCTCCCACACCGAGGGGTCTGCGAATCGGTTCTGCGGAAAACCGTAAAATATTATGGGACTGTTTTGCACCTCTTCGACTCTCCCAGCGTTCCTGGAGTGGGAATTGTCCAGCAGGATTGGTACCAGGTACCCGTTTCTGGATTTTCAGAGGTACTTGCTGTCATTGCGCAGGACCCACCGTGGAAAGAGAACGAACAAAAGAGCGGAGGTCCATGACTGGCTTTTACCACTGAAAGCAGCTGCCAATTACATGGACACTCTTTCCAGTCACCTCGCATCTGCCTGGGCTCGATTTCCAGTCCTGCTTCCCCTAAAAAAAGATCCATTAATTGGTAAACTGCCCTCGATTTCGGAAAATTTATTCCATTCCCATTATCCCTGCCCGGAGGCTTTTCTCACGATTATTCGCGCTTCCCATGCATTAGCTTCGCTTCGGCAGTTTCATCGATATCTCGAAGCCCGATCGATAATTATTAGGAGCTTTGGCCTGCGTTCATCCAATTTCATATAATTTCAACGTTCCGGTACCCTGTTAACTGATTGAATTTTTGTTTTTACTCTCCAACGTTTCACTTCACTTTTTCCCTTGAAAATAAAATATAGTGAGGGACTTAAACGCTGGTTTAACGTTTTACCACAATTTTCCTTTGGTAGTTAAATAAAGCATGGAAAATAAAATTGGAGCCGTTTAAATGCAGCGTTCACAGCTGAATGAAAATCTCCCATGTGCATGAATCTCGTTATCGGAAGGGCTGATGTTATTAGGGATGTAGCTGTCGCTGTCATGGGCATCCTCGCACGTAGAAGTGGATATATCAAGAGGACCCATCGGGAACCTCCGGGGTATCAGTTCCATTGGGTTCTTCCGGCACATGGCGCACCAAAAAGCCCATATTTCACGACCGGCTCACTCTCGATTAACGTCGTCAGTTTAATGAACACGTCTTGCAGCAGGCATGCACCACGTGCATCATTTCCTCTGGGAACGCTATTGCCCTGTACCAAAACTCTCCCCGAGAAGTGCAATACGTCCATTTTTACCGCGAGAAAAAAAAAGTGTCCTTGGACCAAGAAATATTTTAAAATAGAGAATAATTACTAGTGTCAAGTAGACTGGAATAAATAGGATGCAACGATTTAAATGGGTTTATTCGAGGCAAATTATCATTCCTTGAATTAACAAAATATTTCATTGCTTAATTTAATGTTTTATGCCTCGGTGGTATAAGTTCCCCAATTTCGCGGAAATGAAAGTGATAATGTTGATTTAGAAAGATAAAAATGAAAAAATATGGTAATTTGAAAGAGCGTCGCCATAAGCTCGGTGGTAAAGTTCCACCGGTTCCTTGAACAAGAGGCAGCATGTTCCTTCTATTTTGGGTTACCCAAAGACCTTCTGCATTTTCCAAAACGAGTTTCCCGAAAGGTGTTCCTGCTCCTTCGGGGGCCTCGTCAGCTGTTCGCGTCCAGGAGGGCGACCTGCAGACCCTTTAAAGTTTAAAGGTCCGGGCCCATTATGCCTTATAGACGGATCGCAGGGAATAATGCAGGGCCTAGTGCATATGCAACCTTCCTTGGAAAATGGGCATCAACGGGGCCGGGGATGGCAAGTGCACTTCGCTTTCGTCTTACCGACCACCTCTAGGATAATGACAGTCCTTAATACGAGGTCCTTTGTCGACTTTTGACTTTTCCAGGGAACCTTCTCAGCCCTCTTTCTCGACAATGACCGACTCGGGTCGACTTTTCGTCGAAGCGAAGATTTCGCAGTCGGATTACGATTGCCGTGATTGGCCAGGAGGTTTTACGGTTATCCTATCGTAAAAGTATCGCATCCTTCTCCTGGAGGGATTTTCAGGACCCTCTCTGTTGTTTCAACCTCTTCCTTCGACCATGGGAACGGGAACCGTGTTATCGCAGTGGTGGAAATATTCCTTACTTGGTCAATCTTCGTACAATCCGGCGAGGACTTAATTCCAGATAATCGAAGATCATCTACCTACCTGTAATGACAATCGAAACATTTAAATTTCAGATCAGAAGTGAATTAAATGCGAGTGTACCCCGCAGCTCGTATGTTCAAGGACCCCTTGGCTGCCCAGGACGACCATGACACTTTGACTGTATTTTTATTTATTCCTTAATGTAAATGATTTATTTATTTATCAGCTTATCTCCTGGTTCACTAAGTCTTCGTAAGTGTAGAAATAATTTGTTTGTCCTTCGCAAAGTCCTGTAGGAAATTCAGCAATCTTATCGTGTATCCTGTGACAATGCTTCTTGACTACACAAGGCGGCTATGACGCACCTATTTTTTTTATTATTTATTAATCGGTTAATTTATTAAGTAACTTATCAGCTTATTTGCTAGGTTACTAGGCCCTCGTAAGTGTAGAAAAGTCCAGAATTTTATTAACGGAATATATCCGAGGCAGAGTCGAAGAGGAGGGAATTCCAAGCGAGAGGTTTCAAAGTTCCCGAGTCCGCCCTTTTCGTACCTTGAAGGTATTCACGCCTCTCGATGAGGCAGATCGGTGACTCGATGAATTTCCAAGGTCCACGTGTTCCTCCCACCAGGAGTTGGGAAAAAAACGAGGCACGCGTCTTCGAGGGATGGCCACGCGACTCAATCCGCGTCCTCGGAAGCCATTTTGTGCCCGCCAAGAAGATATCCCATTTTTTGTTTTCCTCCTATCCCGAGAAGGACCGTTTTCCAGCCCGGAAGAAGAAGACTAAGAGTGGCTCGTTGCTTCCTGCCGTCTTCTTTTATTTTTTATTTTTTTTCTTTCAAGTCGAATCAGGGCGCGCGCGATTGTTTCGCATCCTTTATTCGGCGCCGCAGAGCTCGGCTCGCTTTTGGAGTTTCTGGAGGCATTTCTTCCGCCTCTCCGAGGAATGTCGAAGAGGCGCACCGGAAGCACAGGGACGCAGATGGGATTGCGTTTAATGAAGTCTGGCCAGGGTTGCACCTGCCACTTTTGTTCCTTCGAAACGGCCGTTACAGCCTCGGGCTCCCGCCGGCCAAATTGGCGGGAACTTCTTCAGGAACCGGCGAAGAACTCGAGGAAGCGCCCTTTAAGTCCTCCGGATTCCCCGATGCATGTTGAATTAATTTCCAGTGACGGTAAAACTCTCCATTGTGTGAGGAGATTATTCTTAAAAATCGGTACCGACCAACTTCTTCACCATTCATGAAAATAAAGAATTTCAGGGAAGCTTATGCATTTTAGGACCCAGATAAAATTAATGAACGGGGTGGGGAAATTATATTAATAAAAGGTGTGGAGAGAGACCAGGGTGGAGGGTATTGCCGGGTTGAGTGTGTCGTTAAAAGTGAATTGATTTGCTTGTAAATAAATTTAAGGCGAAATTTAGATGGGGTTATTGAGGGAGTATGATAAAGGCACTGCGAAGATACACCTCGAAGCGCAACTTTCTTTCATCTTGCCGCCTCCATGTCTCTCCATCAAGGATTCTCCGCCCGATCGATCAGTGTTTAACGATCGTGAAAATCGATTCCAAATCGATCGGCCCCTCTCCCGCGAAGAGATCGTCCAGGAGGCGAGGGGGAGTGAGCAAAAGTGTTCCTGGATTCAGCTGCTCTACCTCTCCCATGGGGATCCTCCTACGCGATTCCTCTTCAGGTAAAGACCCCGAAGAGGGCCCCATGTAGTGGGAGCGAACAGCTGTTCGTCATGGGGGAAATTTAACGGCGATCCTGAAGGTGCATCCGCCGCTTTTCGGGATCTGCAGGATCAGCAGGACTGACGTCGCCGGTCCAGAAATCTTCCCTCTGGAATCCCCAGCATCCCTCTCTAGATTAAAGATCCTAAAAAAAAAATAAACAAGTTGGTTTCCATTTTTTTAAATATTTTTTATGGCGGATTAAGGCGGGGGTGGGTCTTTGTGCATTCGGTTTGATTCGCTGGACACACGATTCGATCGAGCTCGCGTTTGCGGTCGCAAATAATTATTTCTGACAGGACGCGGTTGTCGTGCACGTACTTAGGACGACACAAAATGGAGGACATCCTGTGTTAAACGCTCTTCCCCTGGGCCTGGACGCACAATTTTCACGGTGTGGGTAAAGCCGCGCAATTACCCGCAACTACGCGTTAACCCGTGCAACTGGGTGCACTCGGTTAGGTTGGCAACAGTACTTGGTTCTCGAAATTGTGAGAAAGTTCTCGCCGGATCGCCATTACGGAAACAAAGGATACGGAGTCGCGGCTTATTTTCATTTTTTTTAAGGACTTTCCCTTTCCAACATCCGGCTATACTTCTTTTAAGTACCTCGATTTTTTCTACTTGCAGATACACATCCATCCGCACACATAGGTATACATATAATTCGCTCATATCAGGAATTTTGAAATCCCTTAATTAGTAAATCACTGGTCGTGACTTAGAAACTAGTACAATTATAAAGAAGTTTCATGATAAGTGAAAAAAGTGGTTACGCTGTCGCCGTTTTCTGCAGTCCAGGAGCTATCCTAACGTATATGAGAGCTGGTGTATACGTACATGTATACATGAAAGGAACGTCCGGAATATATATAATCAAAGAGGAGCACTTGGTCAGCTTCGAAGCGG